AATTGTAGTCGATGAAGCTGCATTTACATGTTTCTTCCTTAATGTACTATCTTACGCTTACAAGATAATTGCAATTTAAAACTTTCTGTAAAGAGATACATGAACCGTTTGATGAAATTCCTGAACCGTTTTCTTTTGCGTGTTTTTGTGTTTTTGTCTTCCAGATTTCCAGATTGTTTTCATGTTTCCAACAATGGCCAGTTTGCAGGATTAGGTGCCACTGTAACTCATTTCCTGACCCGCCTCCTCCTGCGAAAGTTGGAGCTCTGTGATTTTCGGCTTCTGCTCGTTGGATTCGTTCAACAACTTCCGACTTTCAACCCATGCAAACTAGAAGAAGTAAGTGAAAACCCAACTCACACTAGTTTTTTTTGTTTTACTTCCGGAAAAAATACAAACCCAACTTACAGCTGCAGCATTTGTAGGAGCTGATGAAGCTGGCCATTGTTGGAAATTTTCCCACTAATGCTGTTGTCCTTCACGTCAATCACGTGAGGAAAGTAAGACAACTTTTACTGCAGAACGTTGCGTTGGTCGAGATGTAGATAGGCAGTTCGAGAACATCACCGTCTAGTTGAGGAGCAGTTTCTTCGGATAACAACATGGGAAGTGTACAGAGTTCCTTTGGAAATTCACCCGAAATTCGATTGCCTCCTAATGCTAAAACAAGGAGCCTCGGAAGAGCCCCCAACCAACTATGCTCAAAAGTTTCAGTATTCTATCATGACGAAATTCGAAGGCATTTGCGTTTGAATTTAGTTAGGAAAGTTGGATGTTGTTTGGCCATCCCTACGACGTAAATTCCCTTTCTGTTTTACCAAGTTGTTATATTTTTGGTATGCAGCAGCAATTTGGTTGATAAGCACTAGTCTAAAAATTCCCTCCTATGCGCTATGCGTCTGGCCACCTTCCCGATTAATCCTAAGCATTTGAAAATTAAGTAAGAGTGTCTAGACCTGCCAAGTCACTCGTCTAGCCCGCGACTCTCACATAAACAAAAAATAGATAACTTTTATTTTGTATTTTATTTTTTCGATAAATTGTAAGAGACTTGTTAAAACACTCATCACATAATTGTTCCACATGTTTTCAATATATTCTAATATATTATAATTTATATGTTATTTATTTTGTAATTTATGTATCTCAATACAATTATATTTATATTTAATGTAAAAGTAGATATTTATGTATATGTTATATTAATAAAAGGTCGTACCCAGTGCACAAGGCTCCCGCTTTATGTATATGTTATATTAATAAATTTAATTAAAATAAAAAAAGCCCTTGCGCTAGATCCCTGTTGGACACACGACTAGCGTCTAGTATCTTTTAAAACTTTGTTAATAAGTCATTGTTTCTCATGGAAAAAATACACTTGATTAGCACACAAAGCGATCTTTAACATCAGAGAGAAATTGGAAATATTTGTATCACCATGACGTGCTTAAAGCTAGAGGGCCACAAACTCCCCAAAGTCCTACAATGAAACCAAGAGCCACTGAAATATAAAGCCATGGAATTTCATTCCCATGGTCATGTTCATCTTCCAGGTTCTTAGTTGCATCATCACTTGTATTCATCTGTTGGCATTTGTTTGGAAGCGGGAAACCGCAAAGTCCCGGGTTGCCCTCAAAGGCAGTGGCATCAAAGCCTTGGAGATGTGTGCCTGACGGTATTTTTCCTTGGAGGTTAATGCATGCAACACTAAATGAACCCAAGAAATGAAGACTTGATAGTGAAGTTGGGATTCCACCTGACAGATGGTTTCTTGAGAGGTCTAATCTCTCCAAGTTAGTGAGCTTAGATACCTGGTCCGGAATGCTACCAACGATGTTGTTGATGTTGAGATCCAGCTCGTGAAGGTTATGCAGCCAGCCTATCTCAATGGGAATGTTGCCACTTAGGGTGTTATTTCGGATGTAAATAGTTGGCGGCAAGTTGGACAGGTAGTTGTACTGCAGAGATGCGACAGATACATTCCTGCGATGCGTGTAGATAGGTAGTTTGACATCACCACTATCTGTTTGAGCGGAAGGCTTCTCGGATATAAGAGCTTGTAGTGAGAAAAGCTCATTTGGAAGTCCCCCCGAAAGCAAGTTGTTGTCCAAGCTTATGAAGAAAAGACTAGGAAGACTACCCAACCAAGGAGGTATTGAGCCTGTGAGTCTGTTAGAAGACAAATCAAGGACTACCAAGTTTCTTGAGCTTTGACATCCACACCGGAATATGACCTCTAAGTTGGCAGTTCAATATAGGCCCACTAAGTTCTACATAGTCTGTAGTAATACTAATTTTAATATTTAAGATTAGTTCGTAGCATATTGATCAAAAGTCGAGTCTTTGTCAACGATGGAGTCTACAACCCTATACAAGGGTCTCATTTATCTTTTAGAACAATATTCTAAAATTTCGGAACGATCCAACGGTCGGATCTCCGCCAATTGCTAGAATTATGTTGCTTTCAACATTTCGTTTTATACACTTAGAAATTCAATTAGGGAAGATCCGTAACTCGGATTCTCGATCTGTAAATTCCTAAGGTTCTCAAATATTACGTACTATAACATATTAAATTTTAGTAATGATCTAACAGTCGGATCGTCATTTGCTACACTATTCAAGTGGCGGACCTTAATGAAACTAGGTTCAAACGACAAAATTTCATCAATCGGATGTCACAGATAGATTCGAGGTATCAAATTTAGCCTAGAAAGACATAATTGGCCCACTGGCCATGCGCCGCCGCATGCGGCGGTTTCCGGTGAATGGTAACCCAATTTTTTGACTAACTCTAAAAATTACCAAATTTTACAAGCAAGTAGAGCTTAATGAGAGGAACAAATTTCATACATGGGCCGAAGTCTAATTCAGCCAGAAAACACCTCAAATCACCCTCGATCCACCGGAAACCCTTGAAATGGTGTTCTTCGATTCGTCAAATCCGCAGCTCCGTCGCCCCAAATTTGTTTGGATTTTGTTCATGGGCTTAAGGGGATGCTAAAAATGGTGGTGATCAAAGGAAAACGTTTCAGAAATGGTGGATCAAAGGCGCGGTACCGTCGCACCCACTGGTGCAGGTTTCACAAATTCAAAGCCAATTTTCATCAAATTTGGGATGGAAAAGGAAGAGGGAACGATGGGAAATGTTTTCCAGGTGGTGGCAAGCCTTGGATCGTCGGAAAAATTCCGTAATCGACGTCGCAATGTGTGGAGGAGCCGAGTTGGGGAACAGCGTTATCGGGTCGAAAACGGATCAGGAAGGTTGGCTGCTCTTCCCCTTCCCTCCTTTCCCTCATTTTCTTTCCCGCATCTCTCATTTTCCCCCTCTCTCTTGCTACTACTTGGTAGCTTCTAATCATGTTTTTTTTTTCAAACAACTAAAACATCTCTAATTTCTTCGTTTCAACTCCGATTCACGAACAGTTTTCTCCTATGCGTTCTTAGGATCGAGCTCTATCCAATTATACTTAGTGTGACCCCGTAAAGTCCACGAATTTTTAATGATTACTGACCAAAAATAAAAAATTGTAATTAGTTTAATTAAAATCTAAATTTAATAAAACTTGTATAAATTCTCGAAAATAATCTAAATTCAGAGTCACTTACATTGACTTCAAAGTGGCCAAATGCGTTTAGATTACTATTCTTTTTTTTCCTTTTTGGATACAAGCAATAGTGAAGAAATGCAATGGTAAATATTTGAATTACAGGTAAGAAGTGTATGGGTATTTTAGGTAAAAAGTTTGATTACGGCTGGAGCCTTCATCCTGGAATCCAAATACCACCTTCATCTAGGTATTCTAATTTTGAATAATTTAAAATTTTAATTATTAATTTTAGGAGAACCTGGACCCACCTATTTTTTTAGGGAACTTTAACGAAAAGCTCCCGGTACTGTTCATTTTAACGAAAAACCATATTTTTACACTAAAAAGTCAATCTTGATACTATTCATTTTACTCTTTATTTTGTCCTTATCGTTAAAACTCAAAGTTTTCAAACCCTTTTCATTAGTTTTCTCTTTTTTTAATTCCTCACAAGCTTGGTAAATGCTGGAATGCTTTGAGAAAGTGCCATTCCGTTTCTTCCCATTCCAGTCCGGTTTCGTAACCACGCCATAGGTGAAATGGGCCGTCACTAATGAAGGGTCTAATAATGGGTTTGCAACGTATTAGAATGTTTACATTGACTTTGGGCTAGTGCCTGTGGAAGAGTTTAAAGCACTTAAAAATGTTGTTTCTTAAAAGTGCTTTGAATAGAAAGTAGAAACACTATTAATCACTTTGGACAATTTTTTAGATGCAATCAAGTTAAGGAATTTCGATTAAATAGGAGAGTTATGAACTAACAGATGAATAATTATATAGTTAAGAATAAGTAGAAGTGAGATGGTCATTAATTAATTTATTTACAAAGAATTCTTCATGATTTAACAACGTGCAAAATTACGTACTTGATTTTTTTTTCTCTAAATATCTCTTGTATAAAAATAAATGATACAATTACGCACAATATTAATATAAACTAACGTAAATCTACCATGCATGACCTATTTCCCTACAATATATATATATATATATATATATATATATATATATATATATTTTCTGTGTATTTGACTTCGAAATTGCAAAAGTATAATCATTATCATGAACAATGCTTGAAATTTTGGACATTGACGTGCCAACTTATCGAAGTTGATTTTGTTCTTCTAAGCAGATTGGACTCAATGGTTTACTTAAGTCATGATCAAAGGAAATTAATGGAGCATTTTTTTTCCTTGGGTAAGATGCTTTATTCAAAACACCATGATACGATACGAAGCACGATTAAAACAGTCAATCTAAAATTCAAGTGGCTAAAACAGAAAACAAAAGCGTCAGTTTTTTTAAATGTAGACTGGTTGTGGGTGTCACTCTACATTGACTTTCAATAATTTAATCAGTCTATTTTTCAGTCTTCTTTAATAGTTTACTGTTGCAAAAACACAAAAAATAATCAATTATTCGAAACTATTTGCCGATTTGATTGTCAAGATAAAATTTTAATATTTCTTATAACATAGTGTTCGTCAATTTATTTGAACTCAGAGAACACAAACGGAGCCAAAGTCTCTCTAGATCAGTTGTGAGCCAGGCCTATCGCATTTGACCACATTGAAAAAAAAAAAAAAAAAAACCCATCCCGTAGAAAACCTCTTTTGACATAACCTCGAGACACCATCAAAGTGTAGACCCAGACAATTGTATGCCAAAAGTTCAACAGAAAAAACTGGTACGTTGCATGCATGTGTTTGTAGACGATGAAGCTGCATTTACATGTTTCTTCCTTAATGTGCTATCTTACTCTCACAAGATAATTGCAATTTTAAACTTTGTGAAAAGAGATTGCAGATAAACTGTTTGATGAAATTCCTGAACCGTTTTCTTCTGCCCTTTTTTATTTTTTTTTCAGATTCCCAGATTGATTTCATGTTTCCAACAATGGCCAATTTGCAGGGTTAGGAGCTTAGGTGCCTAAACCTTGCGAAAGTTGGAGCTCTGTGATTTTCGGCTTCTGCTCGTGTTGGGATTCGTTCAACAACTTCCGACTTTCAACCAGTGCAAACTAGAAGAAGTAAGTGAAAACCCAACTTACACTAGTTTTTTTGTTTTACTTTCGGAAAAAATACAAACCCTTGTCAATGATTCTGCATATACACAGATTTTGATGTGTAGTATCAATTTCAATCAGGACCCTTTTGTTAGTTTCAGTTTTCTTCTTAACCAAACTGATTGCGCAAGTTTATGAAAATCGAGGAGATTTTCACAGATAGTTTGATTCGTTATGTGACATACCTTTTTGTGGTTAAAGATATGTGATGTATACGCTTAGGCTTTAGTCACGTTTAAAATCATCTAATATGTTACCTTATCAAACTTCCATCGTGATTTCAGCTGATGATTGATAGTTTGGTCCATAATTATTGTCTAAACAAAGAGAGAAAATAAATAAAAGAGCTATTCAACTTACAATCCGATTAGGGAATGAACATCCTACTCTTAAATAGATATTTTGCACTAGAGAATTTACTGTCTCAATCCGTACACACTAATATTTCATCATCTTCTGTGCAGTGAGCTTTAACTGGAACATTGACGAGAGAGGTGGTTTGGAAGTTGTCAGGGACCATGAAAGAGTTACTGTTGTTTGCATATTCTGACCGATTTGTACTCTTGGTTTCACTATCCGGTTTGCTGCTTTTAACTTCGTCCTTTTGATTTGGAACTTGGACTTGGCCTTGGGCTTTCCTGTTAAGAACAAGAACAAGAACTAGTAATTGTAAACATATTGAAAAAAGAAAAATGAACAGAGTCTAGATTCTAGAACTCTACCTTCTTCTAAGCCTACTCCACTTCAGATAGAGCATGAATTGAATTTTGTCAAGGAGTTGGAAATAGGCAAATCTCCACGTCCTCTTGAGAAGCAAAGGGCAACAGAATCCCAAATACCCTACAAAGAAACCAAGCACAACGGATAACCCAAACCATAGACTTTGCTCCTCATCATGGTCCAAATCCTGGTTGTTCTCATTCTCATCTGCATCACTGCCATTACTTGGGAAGCACTGGTTTGAAAGTGGGGCACCGCAAAGTTTCGGATTCCCTTCGAATGCAGAGACACTGAAACCTTGGAGCTGAGTGCCGGCTGGTATTGGTCCTTCAAGATTATTGTATGCAACAGTAAATGTAGACAAGAAATGGAGATTTGATAGTGATGATGGGATTTCGCCTGACAGACGGTTACTGTTGAGTTCTAATCTCTCCAACTTTGGGAGGTTGGCTATTTGGTCTGGAATGTTGCCAGAGAAGTTGTTGATGCTTAGATCCAGTTGTTGAAGAAATTGCAATTGGCCGATCTCAAAGGGTATGCTGCCTCTTAAACTGTTGTTCCTGAGGGAGATTACTCTTGGCATGTTGGGCAGATATTTGTACTGTGAAGCCAGCACAGTTGCATTATTACCGCGTTGAAAGTAGACGGGCAACTCAAGAGAACAATGGCCTGTTTCATTCGCAGCCTTTTGCGATACTAATGCTTGTAGTCTGCAAAGCTCCTTTGGAAATTCACCCGAAATCAAGTTGTCATTCAACAACAAAAAGAAAAGATGCGGAAGAGTCCCCAACCAACCAGGTATTGTGCCAGTGAGTCTGTTAAAAGACAAATCCAGGACTTCCAGTTTCCCGAGCTTTGAAATCCATGCAGGTATGTGTCCTGTCATATGACACATAAGTAAACTGAAAACACACAGATTTTGTAACCCGGAATCGACAGTTATATCCCCATCTGGCATTTCTTCACCTTTAAAATTTTTTGCAAGAAGGAGCACCTTGAGAGTTTTGAAACCCGTCAGTATCTTCATTGCCCCCGTGACATTGGTGAGTCTGTTACGAGAAAGTGAGAGGAAGGTCAAGTTTTTCAATTGAAGAATCTCAGGTTGGATTTGGCCCTCGAAATCATTTGTAGCCAGTCGAAGTGCTTTGAGGGACTTGCATGAGTAGAGGCTTATTGGCAAGGTACCAGTGAGATTATTACTTATACAATCTAGTTTACTAAGATGAGTAAGTTTAGAGAAATTGAGGGCAGAGATATTCCCACTAAAACGGTTGAATCCCAGATTTATTTCAACAAGGTTTGTGCAATTCATCAGAGATGAGGGCAGATGACCTTCGAGATTGTTGTATTGAAGGCGCATGAGCTTTAATTTGGAGAGCTTCCCAACATTCTTACTGATGGGTCCCACAAGCCCATTGGTAGATAATGAAATTTCTTGAAGTGCCTGAGCATTGTAGATATCAGTAGGGAGGGATCCTGAGAGAGTATTGTCGCCAGCACGAAATACCTCCAACTCGGAACAGTTTCCAAGTCCGGGAGGAATTGGGCCACTGAAATTATTGTGGGAGAAATCCAAGACTCTAAGCGAGGATGAACGAAGACAGGTAGAGGAAGGTATTTGGCCTGTAAAGTGATTATTGCTGACATTCAAACTGCTCAAATTCCAGGCATGCTGGAGGAATGAAGATGGAATTGTTCCGTTGAATTGATTGCTTGAAAAATCAACTATTTGGATGTAACTTGATGATAAAGACATTGGTATTTCTCCGGAGAAAAGGTTATAGCTCAAATCAAGAATCTCAAGGCGACTCAAGGACAAGAACATCCCGGCTTCAAGAGAGCCGGAAAGCAGATTGTGGGAGAGATTGAGGTGCGAAAGAAGCTTAAGGTTTCCAAGTGATGAAGGAAAAGTACCTCCTGTGAGGCCCTTGGATGGCAACCGCAATTGGATGATCCAACCGTTCTGATTACATGTGATGCCTTCCCACTGGCAACAATCAACTGAAGCAGTCCAGTTCAATGCCGGGGAAGACAGAGAGCTCGCAAAGGACTTGAGGGCGCTGCGTTCGGTTAGATCACATGCATGTATTGTGAATAAAATGGAAGAAAACAAGAGGATGAGAAGGAAGCCATGAGAGAATGGATGATCCATCTCAGGTTCAGATTACTCACAGGTTTTCTTCTGCACTCGTAGATAGGTATGCATATATGTCTGAATCTGCAGAGTATATATACACGTCTTCCGCTTGACTTCAAAGTCATGACAAGAAATTCCATGTTGGTAAGACTCATGACTTCAAAGTCGTTGAAAGATTCTTTTATCTCTTAGTCTTTGGATTTAAAGGAAACAAAAAAATTAGAAGGGACGGCTCTGCTTTTCTTTGAGGCTCTGTCTCTGTTTGTTTCTGCATGACAAGAAATTCCATGTTAGTAATAGTCATGACAGCGAAGTGAATATAACAAGTGATGCATTAATAAAGAAGAATTGGTACATTATAAATAAATTAGGGTACATATAAAAGATTAAAAAATTATGAGTACAAATGAAATTTTAAAAAAATATAGACACTAAAAGAAATTAATACATGGGTACAAAATAAAACTAAAAAGAAAATACTACAAATTTAAAAAAAATGTTGCAAATTAAAAGTGGGTACAAATTAAAAATATAAATATATGATACAAAGTTTAGGCATAAAACATAAATATACCATATGTAATTTTTCTATCATTAATTAAATAAACAATGTCACGTGACAGTATACACATGGGTACAAACACAAATAAAACTTTAAAAAATATGGACACAAAAAGAAACTAATATATGGGTACAAATTAAAAATGAAAAAAAAATTGGTACAAACTAAAAATAAAAATATATGATAAAAATTTAGCCATAAATATAAATATACTAATTGTAACATTTTTAACACTAAAGGAATATATTTAAAAATAAAAATATTTTATTATTCAAATAATTAATGATATTATTAATACTCTAGGACCTTGATCAAAAATTAAAAATGAATAAGATTTTAATTAATGAAGTGAACCTAATTTCTTTTATATTATATTATATATTATTTTAGTAGATTTTGGGAATTGAGGCAACGACTTCAAAGTCGTTGAAAGATTCTGTAATCTCTTAGTCTTTGGTTTGACTTTAGGCTGTAGCTTTCTTAGATTTAAAGGAAACACCAAAGTTAGAAAGGACGACTGCTTTTCTTTGAGGCTCTGTCACTGTTTGTTTCTGCATAAATCAGCGAGCAAAAATTCATCAAATTTGATGTCGATTAAAATTTCAGGTTTTTGTTTTAGGTGAAGAGGAGCAAGATTCAAACTTTTTCACCGAGTGGAGGTAAGTACCCTACCACTTGATTTGCCCCACAATTGTTTATTTTTGTTTTTTGATTTTTTGGGAAAAAGGAATATTATGATGTGAAATAACCCTAAATTATGGAGACTTCTAGGTGAAAGACTGATAAATTTATTGAAACGGGTTGAAGTTTCACCATACAACTAATTGACAATATGAGGAGTAACCTAACCTACTTAATATAAGATTCAGTCTCAATACTTACAATTTTCACATACATCTTCCATGTACTTTGTATTATTACTTGCACTAATTTGAAAGCGGGACCCGTGAAGTATCTGGTCAACGGCAGTGCATTGAGGTCTTGGACGAAGACTCCGATAGTGATGCTAGGATTCTGTCGGATAGATGATTTCCGAGAGGTCTGAATCGTCTCTCCAAGTTGGTGAGGCTGGAATCTGGTATGGAATGATGCCAAAGAAGTTGTCGTCGCTAAGATCCATTACATATGTAGAAGATAAATAAGTGTAGAAAATGTAGATAGACTTCAAAGCATCAGTTGCACAACGGGGTCCATACAAGGTTTTTGGATTATTCCTTTCCGACTTTGATGACTTTAGAGACAGGGCATCAAAGTTATAGACAGTTCATCAGCTTACTACTGATCAAACAAAATACTGATCGCATGTGCAAACCAATAGTTGGGCCAATCTGCAACTTTAGCGTTTTAAATTCATTCTTTCAATTCGGGTAAAGACAATCTAGTGCCCCAACTGAGGTTTTTAACTTTTTGATGCAGGGCATGCTTCAATTGAGGTTTTAGAGACTGTTTATTAGCTCACTACTAATCGAACATTGACATTGACCACATGTGCAAACCAATATATAGTTGGGTTAACTTGAGACTTTAGCGTTTTAACAAATTTATTGTCCCAATTAAGGAAGAGACAATCTAGTGAGTCACTACTAATGAACCGAGGTTTTCTAGGTTTTTGATGTGAGACATGGTTGGTTGAGGTTGAAAATAAAAATGTAAATACTTGCAAAAATCAAATATAACAATTAAAACTCCCATACTATTGAATCATGCGTAGCATAAAAGCCACACCGGTAAGACATGTTTCAACTCGGGTTTTCAAATCTTGCACTAAGAGATAGTGAGCCCTGTTTTTCAATTCATATTAATTCACACGTCCCTTCTATCGTTGTAGTTTTCACTAAAAAAGTAGGTTTAAAAGGTAGGTGGGTTTAAATATTTGTCCACAATATTTGAAATTTGAAGTCTTTGCTTTCATGTACACAATATATTGACTGAAAAATCAGTAGTAGTGAGTGAAAATAGTTCACATTAGATGGCTTACATACTTTTTTTTGGTAAAAAAGAAGGTTTTACATACTTTGACAATGAGTACCACAATACTTGTAATCACTAGACAGGTTTTTAGATGCAATCAAGTTAAGGAAATTCGTGCATAACGTAAATAGGAGCCACTCAATGATAATTTCTTGCAGTTTTCACTTTTATTAAAAAATGAAACTTAATATAGATTTGGTAACTGTTTTTAG